TTTGGCAGATTTACGTATTTCTGAAAATTTTTAGGGAATATATGGTTTTGGTGGGAAAATATTGCTCTAATATTAGACACCCAACTAGGAGAAAAACTTACTCTAGAGCAAGACTTACTCATTAGTGGGAAAGTTTTGCTCTTCAACACATTTGAAACACAATCCACAGCAAAAAAAATTAATATGAGTTGATTTGTGGATTCACGATGGATAATCGTGAATATGATATGATACTTAGCGAAAATAATTGCATGTGTATATTGTATAACTTTAAAAGAGATTTTTTATTTTAGTTTCAGGAAATTTCAGTTCATTTCAATATCCATTCGGAATTTAAATAGAACTTGAAGTTTTTAACTAAAGTAAAGAGATCACAGATTTTTCGTCATTTAAATTAATCAATGCATGTGTAACAGTGACCTTAATTGCATGAAAAGGGCATGTTGACCCTGTGTAAGGATGACGGAGATCGTACTGTGCGAATCCTTGGTTATAAATGTTTTTTTTTCTTTTTTACCATTCACATGGCAGTGTCGATCGGTAGCCATATCTGACAAATGATAATGACATTGATTAATCATCATTAATCCATGAAACTCATTTTTCATTTTCATTTCCGCGGAACTTCTTCCGGAATCCTCCAATTTTATGTTCCATTATGGTTGCTCCGTAGGTACAACTAACAGTTAATTATGTGCTGAAATCAATGCGCGTTCCTCCTCAACAAAGATTGCTGTTGTAAGAACATGGGGGAAAGAAATAATAACAGATATGTAATATTATTTATGGTTATAATCTTTTTTATTCATTCACATCAAATAGAAATAAAACAATCAATTTTATTGATAGCTGACAATCTGAACAGCAAAATGTGTATACATATTCTTATATTTATGCACAAGTAGCTGTTATAAACAATGGAGTATTTGCCCTGTGACCGAAGGTGGTGGGTTCAAACCCCGAAAGCGACTGAACTAAGTGGACAAGTCGATAGACTTTCTAATACCCCATTCATACGACGAAAATTTGCTTATGTGTGTAAATTTACATGTAAGTAAATCTACACACGAAAGTAAAAGATAATTTGCTATGCGTTCAGGCGAGATTTATGTACTGCTAGTAAATCCTCATATTTTCATTAAAAAATAAGGAGATGGACAGATTCAAAATTGTGAATTTTTATAGAAAAAGTCTATTTTCTTACTGTTTGGGTAAAAATCTAACTTTTGAATGTTCCTAAAAGACTAGGGTGGAAATCCGATCCACTAATTTATATAATTTTATTGGTCCGAAAGAAAAGGAAGTTAATGTTCTAAGGACAAAGAAATGGTATAAGAATTTACACACAAAGAAGAAAAAATTATTAAAATTTTTATTTACTGTAAGAGCCGTAGGATGTAAAGAAAAAAGATGACTATTGCCATCTACTGATTGACGTCTTCAGCAGAAATAGGACGATTGGAATCTTTTTGGTTTTTTTGAAATCTACAGTACATCAAGTGTGTGGGGCCATTATAAAATATCCTCTTGAAAATGATACAGGAAGGATAAAGAGATAACGAACAATATTCAATATCAAAGTCCATAAAACAATACAAAATAGGAGCAGAGCAAACACGGACTTCCAAAACATCAGAGATGGGATCAGGTGCCATGGAGGAGTGAGCATCCTCTGCCGACCAGTCACACCAGCCGTGTGCTCATTGTCATGATCGGGAAATAACGGAAAAATCCGTCGTCAATTCAGTGAACATATATACACAATTGACTAACAATTAGTGTGAAAAACGTCAGTCATGTAATTATGTATTTTCAAGGAGAATGAAAAGGATGATGAAAACTAAAAGTGACCGATCTCAAAAAATCTTTGAACAATACAAATATGTGAAAAGGAAATTAACATGAACCCCTGGGCATTATGGGGTTATGTGCCAAAGAGGATACTTAGAAATGCTTACTTTCAACGAGTTTATTGAAATTCCTGTAACATTAACTTATATGTGAGTAGCTTGTCTCGATTAAAAACAGAGAAGGGTAGAAGAAAGTCATCAAGAGCTAAACGGTAATTGGGCCCGAGCAATTGATGGAATGCATGTTCCTATCATAGCTTCGGAGCATTCCAAAGGAGACAACTTGTATAGTAAGGGCAGCATCCTACAGGGCACTTGTTAGCGACCACAACTATTATTATCTTTAAAGATATAAACAAAAACCAGCCAGAAAGGGTGCAAGATGCCCTCGTTTTTGGCAAATTCGAAAATTTATCTTAGAGGAGATAATGGCTCATTGTTTGAGTTTTAACTTTTAGCCACCATGTTTAGTAACTTATATTTTACGTACCAATGCATACACAACCGAAACAACACTTAAAATGGAGATTTATGCAATAAACAAAACAAAGTACATACATAAGTAAATTTGCTGCGTGTTCATACAACAAAATTTACACACATGAACTAATAATTTGCTACAAAAGGTATGCAAAAGTTAATTTGCACCTAGTCCTAACCAGGTGTAAATTTACTCCACTGTGCAGAATTTGCATATGAGTAAATCCGTTCATACGACAAAAATTGCACACGTGAGTGAATTTACTTATGTGTAAAATATACTGAGGTATGTAAATCATGTCGAATGAAATGGGGTATTTTAAGTCGATAAAATATAGGCAGCAACTGTACTTCCGCCAAGCAATCGTCCCTTTGAATTAGAAGTTGTATTTTTTCAAATGAGATCTATTAAACTACATGTAGGCCTAGTTTCACGACAGTCGTTGGCACAATAAAGATTTCCCACTGCTAAATGGCCCTGAGTGTCAAGTAAAGTCTAAAGCAGCTTTTCGTCGTTATATATATGGTGACGTTTCTATATGAGTAGAAAAATTCGAAAGGGACGTAAAATAACATACAATAATAATAATTCTTATAAATAACTGAAAAAAGGTTAAAACCTTACTGCACATCTCCTTTCATATTCTAAAAGGTGAGGGTAAGAGGGGTTTGAGGAGGAAGATTTTGTCCAATTTCTTTTTAAGATGTGAAACCCTATTGCACATTTTCAGGACACCATCTGTCATACTCAAAAAGATGAATTGGATTACTACTTAACACGAAGAAAGGTTTGAGGAAGACTACCCAATTCAAACATGTATAAAAGAGTTTGCTGCGTAAGAATTTAAGTTTTCAATTTCTGTCCCGCGGTAAATACTGTTACATTTGTTTCATAATGAAGCAAATTGAGCTTCCCATGGATTTGTCACCCATACGTTATCAAAGTTCTCCAAGTCAATAACACAAGACTTAGTGTTCAGTACATATGTATTTCATATAGAAGAATACATTTCATTATTTTAAACTACTCGATACTTGTTACTGATAATCACTTGAGTCGTAAAAATTTTGATACAAGAAAATATTTCATTGCCTCATTAGATTTTTTATACATCAAATTTGTTACTTTTTAGTGCAAAAGGTCACACAATAATTTACGCGCATTAATTTGCAAGATTTGTTCAATGATTAATATTATTCAAAATATTTTACGTAAAATAAGATTATATTTATCGCCATAGTTACATCAAATGAAATATGATAAAGGTTAAAGTGATTAAACAAAGAGTAAAAAAAAAAATAAGTACAAAAAAGGTCAACTTAATTGTAACGTAGCTCAGCAAGATGCACACAGACCCCCTATTTTCTTTGCGATTTTGAGTCATACTATATGTCGAGTACTTATCCAAAAAAATAAATACAAATATTTATAACATAGCAAAAAATATTTAAAAAGGAAGATACTGACTATTATGGCATGTCAGCTAGTCAATTGCGACTGTGTAAGGAATTGGTGATATAAATCTTAATTAGTGACAGAATAAGAAAAATCGTAAATTCCTGGCTCTTGTCACAGGAAATGATTAGAATCCCTGCCTTCGTGTCATGATTAAACATGAGTGATTTCCATCCACTTATTCACATTTTTTTTAGATTTCAAAAAGCAAATTGTGGAAAGAGTACATTAATCATTTTTGAAGACTTCGGGAACAAATAGAAACTGTCTTTGTCTTCAGGTTACACGTGTTTTTGTACATGAGCATACATAAAATTGACATCTAGTCACTGATAAGTACCATTTAAATTACTTTGTTGAAGAAATTAATATTGTCACTGTACTATGTTGTAACTTATTCAAGTACTATTCAAATTCTATGACATAATATCATAATCTACAATGTTATGTATTCTAGCATCTGATTGGTCAATACAACACAAATACCCAGTAACATTATTCTCGCATCTTCAACATTAGTTATATGTTTTGTATAAAATCGTGATATCCATAAATTGATCAGTTTTCTAACGTTCAGGCCTGTTACGTTGTCAGATAAAAATAGAAGTAGGGATAGAAATATCTAGATATTTTCAACAATAAAGGTCATTGCTTTTGAGATACCGTCAATAGCTTATGAGATGTAAACAATCAATGACATATCATTCATTAGACGGACATTCCATTAATGGTCTCTACTGGTGTGTCTTTACAAATAATCTGTCAACAATGGGTCACTACTGCTCTTTCATTCATCCAATGAGATTCTCTTAATTATCTGAGGAATAGTGCGCACCCGTGAATTTAAGGACATTTGCCATAACGTAAATTATCATATTACGCACAGCTAATAAGTAGGAGTAAAATTGTATGTCATCTATACTATACAATACAAACAACATTAAAACTCAGTTACATTTGTGTTTAAATGTACAGAATAGGTAAGGCATACTTTTACAAAGAGTAATAAACCATGTGTACTTTAAGATTCAGTGTATATAAAATTCAGTATAAGAGTATTGAATGTTCAAAAGGTAATGGTAAGTTGTCCGTAAAAAAGTCCGTTGAATAAGTATAAGAAGTTTTAACCGTTATGTTATTACTTAGTCTAGTATTAAACTTTCTTATTTGAGATTTATACGTTTGTTTTAAATATTTTTGATTTTTTTTTTCAGATGCCACGATACAGTTTCTACAGAAATGTCTTCTGTTTCGCCATCACAATCTGTACGACGATCATGGCAACATCAGGGTCACGTAGCTTTTCCAAATCAGATTTCATGAATTTCATTTCCACAATTCAAGATCCTAACCTAAAAGTACTAAGTCAGATATTAAAAGACGAAGCGTGGAGACGGAAACTGAACGAACTGTCCTCGGAAATTGACGATATTGATCTCTCCGAAGAATATCTGAACGAACTGTCATCCGAAAATCAGAGACGAGGTTATCTTCCCTCTTTTATGTCTGTAAGAAAAAGGAAAGTATTTTGGCAACCAATGCCCTTCGTTCCACACGATGTAAGGCAGAATTCAAGGGATAAGGATGCAGGAACGAATGATAGTCCTAATAGTGGAACAATATTAAGATATGGTTAAATCTAAAGTTCTTTAGAACATATTTCTATGAATTATTTCATAGTTTCTTTTATGCCTTTCCAGCTAAATAACTGAAAATGTGAACAAAGGTAACTACAATAATGTAACAGCACTTCAACCACATAAATTTCCTTCGCAAGATTCCATTGTCAAATGCATCGCATGATTGTCTTATATTCTCTTTAATGCAAATTATATAAACTTTTGTATTCTTCAACCTTACCATACCCTCTAATTTATGAATAAACAGAGCTTTTTAGTTGTATTCGTTACTTTTTTATACAATGGTTTTGTTTTTGCTTTTTTTATTTGGTATCTCAAGCCCAAATGCATTTTCCAAGAAAAGTCGGAAATCTGTTGGTTTTTTTTTTTTGTTTTTGTTTTTTTTGACGCAAAGGTCTTAAAATTAATTTCATTTTTTGTGCAACTGAGAAAGGAGAATACCGGTATTATGGATTTGGTTGTATCTGACGTTTTGTACTTTATAGACACTAAGATATCGGACTATTTAAGGCGAATGTAACAGTCAAACCACTGTTTCTTGTATTTTTTTTTATTTAAGAAAAGAATTTATTTATAAAAGTCCCCTTAAATTTCCTTCAAATCATTGCCGAAAATCGAAGAACTAACACAAATAGAGCTTTAATTAAATGTCACAAAGTAAATTAATTATGAATTGAATTCTGGACTCACTCGTTTAATCTTTTATTAAATGTGTCTAGATAAAATGATATCCATCTACTCCTCTGATAATTAGCAAGAGGCGACAAGAATTACGTTTTAGCCGCTTTAAAAAAGCTGTAGATAGCCTATAAATTAACAGTTATGTGTAATTTTTGTAAATATTTAGAATTCGGAGGCCCATTCTACAAATAAATATATCTTACGACTAAAACAAAAAATGTAATTTGTTATAATTTTCCTATTTACTTTAAATTAAAAAAAATGAAAAAGACGCTAATGGTAATCTAACAACCAAGCTTTATGAAAAACGTGATGACTTTAACTTTTCTATCGTCAATTTTGCTTACTTGTGCAGCAATATACCTTCATCACCTGCATATGGAGTTTATATATCTCAGTGCATTCGATACGCAAGAGCATGCTCTACATTTTGTACAATTTCTAAAACGAGGTTAATTATTGACAAACAAGTTGATGAAACAAGGATTTCAGCAGCCTCGTTTAAATTCATCATTTCATAAGTTCTATGGTCGATACAATGACCTTGTCAGCAAATTAAATTTATCATTGAGTCAAATGCTGACTGACGTTTTTCATACTTATTGTTAGTCCATTATTTATACACTAGATTGACCACGGACTTTTCCGTTATTTCCCGATCATGACAAGGAGCACACGGCGGGTGTGACCGGTCGGCAGGGAATGCTCACTCTTCCATGGCACCTGATCCCACCTCTGATGTGTTGGGAGTCTGTTTTTGCTCTGCTCCTATTTTGTACTATTTTATGGACTTTGATATTGAATACTGTTCGTTATTTCCTTCATTTTATCTTTTTTAAAATAATGTTTAAAGATATTTTAAGCTTGAAAATTTAGACAAAATTATTAATTTTGTGCAAACAAGCAAAATTTTTGGTCTTAGTCGTAATTTCTTTTGTATAACGAGTCCCTCATTCATTTTTAACCTCGATCACTATAACGCATAACACTTACAAAACCCAGTGAAAAGATTAAAATGATGAAAAGTAATCACCAAACTAAAAAAAATTACATACATTATGCAATAAAAATCTGTGAACAGGGCAGAAAACATAGACCCTTGAGAATAACAGACGTTGGATCAGGTGTGTAGCAGGAGTAAGCATCCCCTGGTCACATTCGATATCAATCATATGTATTGGTCAGGTAGACGGACAGCCTGTAATCAAATTGGGAATAAAACAAAGGCATGATAATTGATTTGAACTACGACAGCAAAACAAGACCAAATGATAGGTTATGTTTGCTAACAAGATCATTATAAAGACCATAGAATGTACGAAATGGTGGCTTTAAATGAGGTTGTTGAAAAGACTTTTAACCTAATAAGCCTTGGTGAACTTTTAATCAAAGTAACGAATAAAGTATATAACAGTATAAGCAGAATTCTAGCGAGGATGTAATTTTGGCGTTATTAGCGAAGGTGCTGAGATCGCTGAAACAACGGAGAATCCTAAGTCCACACCCCACCTGAACCCCAACTCAGGAAATGCTTCATGTTTACTCAGTGCAAAATGTTTGTCAGATTTTTATTCATCCATAAATGACACATGTATATTGTGCCAAACTTCTGAATCAAACTGGCAATCAAAGGCCACTTAAGTACTTATTACAATACGTTAAGCAGAAGAGTTTCTCAGGTAATGACCAACTATGCCCGACATGAGGATCGTTTTTTCATTATCACATTTATTAAGCTTGTCGCCTATTTACTCATGATAAAGAAATTTTTTAGATAAACTTGACAATTTTCAGTGAAATTGTTCAATTGTTAAGTTAATCCATACTAGAACCTCAGTCCTAACTGTATATATAAGTTTTGTAGAGGCTTTCTTAACTGATTAACTGATTGCTATCATTTATTTGTCTATAATTTAATTTTGTTTGTATTCTCGCCTCTCATTGGTTGATTTCCAAAAAGGAACGCAAAACATTTTGTATAATCTGGTTTGGTATGGGGACACACCCCCTTGACGACCAGCTTAATCATTATATCCATGCAATCCCCTCATTTCCAGTCCTCGAAATCCATGGAAAATTTCAGATTTAATAAATGTACCTTCAACTTTAAACAATTACTCGTTCTTACCTCATGTAAACAAACATCATGGCTGCTAGATCTATGTATCAGTTATTACCTCCCCTCGCTTCAAATCACTTCCGTTACTACGACTGTATTATTGCGCGGTAAATTTGAACTGATAAAAAGCGACACAATTTTACATCAAAAGTTGTTTAATTATTTTAAAATTAAATTATAAGGAATGACTTTAATTCTTGGCCATATTATCGAGTATAATCTGGTTTGGTTTAGTTTACGCTTTTTTATAATCCGCTTCGCGGATTATAAGGCGTAAACTGACCCAAACCAGATTATACTCGATAATATGGCCAAGAATTAGAGTCATTCCTTAATTAAAATGTCAAGGAATAACAAATGTTTCAATACGGAAAATGAAACCTCGAAAAAAAAAGACCAAATTAGTCTCCCCTTGAGCCTTAGATCAGGGTTAACTTCTTGATGCAAACAGCTTACTTGCTGGATATCCATCAAATATGCGATATTATATACAAAATAATACTATATTCTCAATATATCACTAATACATTACCAATTTGGACCCATCTGGAGGACTGAATGATAGGTAGACAACAAACAGTTAGCGATACTAAAAAATATTATTAAACAATACAAAATGTAAGCAGAGCAAACACATTCATCTGAAAACAGAGGTGAGATCAGGTGCCAGAGAAAGCAGTGCAAACACGTTCATAAGATAGGTGTCAGAGAGGAGTGGTCACCTGTTGTTGAATTTTCACACCTGTCATCTACCCCTTCCCATGACCTGGTAAACAAAAAACAATTCATTTTGTAAATAATGGCCTAATATAATTAGTATAAAAAACGTCAATCAGCCTTATACTTCATAAAAGATTGCATTTGCTGACGAGGTCATTACATTGACCATAGAACTTGAGAAATGATGACATTTAACGAGAATGTTGGTATTCTTGTTTCTGGATAACAATGTACATATAAATTGTTTATGACAAGCTCAAGTATATATCTGCTTTATCATCCTCGCAAGCCAGTGGTCCTGAGTCAACACGTTGCCGTTTGACCCATGGCATATTTCATTCAATATCTGTGGGCTGACTGTAGCGACGTCTTTTGGAAAAATTGTAAAACATGATTGTTTTTCTTATCCTCAACCAATCATATTAAGCCATTCTGTGATAAACAACTTGTAACACATGCATTTGAGATGTCAGCTGAATCCTTATCTGACTATTGTTTGAAAGCTTTAATTTCATTGGTGCTTCTCAATGAGAGAAGCAAGCCCACAGATATTGAAAGAAATATACCAGGGGTCAAACGGCAACGTGTTGATTTGGGACCCCTGGGAGGATGTTGTTTTATATCAACCATTAAGAGTAGAGTCACAATGGATTTTTTTGGACAAAATAAGCTTGTTGGTGACCATTGACAAGATTTACAAACCTAGACTTTCCGTTTCAATTGAAGCAATGACTATCTTTTACGTCAAAATCCTGGTCTTTTATTTATTGTGGGAAGGGGTGGATATAAAAGTGAAAAAGTTACATACGTTTTAAAGCTACCAAATTTGGTAAAATCTTCTGATATCAAATTTTCTTAGGGTTCCTTGGATTTTTAAGCATTAATTAAACAAAGTATTCATCTCAAATATCAAATGTTGTCATACACTTGTTAAAAGGGAACTCCGGTATCCTTTAGCACAGACTTTACTATATCTAAGGCTACAATATTTAGTGTAGAATCATACTGATACTGAAGCACGGTGCATTTTTGTAGAAATTCCCTACCTATATTGAAATTTGAAATTGAATGAAAAAAAACTTTATTTCGAAAGTTGGTAACATCAAAACGTACTATTTTTCTACACTTATACATCTGTTTCTAACGATAATTAAAATAAAGACTTTTTGAACTTATAAACAACCGCTGCTTTAATTAAAATGGGTTAAAATGGGGGTCGGAAATTTTATTTTCTTGTGATTGGTCATCAAAAAAATTTACCATGATAAGGTTCACTCTCGTTCTTCATAAAAGGTATTCTGGAATCAAATATATGAAGATAACGAACAGCATTCAAGCTCAATAGTCCATTAAACAATGCAAAATAGGATGTATCAAACACGGACATCCATCAGGGGGTAAGATCAGGTGCCATGGAGGCGTGAGCGCCCCCTCCGCCCAATCATACCCGCTGTGTGTTCCTTGTCATGATCAGGAAATAACAGAAATATCGGTCGTCGTCAATTCAGTGTGTATATAAGGCCTAACAATAGGTATGAAAAAACGTTAGTCAGCATTTGACTTAAGGTAGGATTCTTCTCACATTTCTAATATTTAAAAATTAATGAAATTCTCACAGAATCAAGAAGACAATATCAGTAAGTGATAGTATCAGTGAGATTAAATTTGACCATTTTATATTAGAGGCAAGGACTGGTCAAGGTCATTATCTTTTTCCGTGACATTAAGAATAAAAAAAAATA